ACTATACTGCATTGAAAAACAAGGAACTCATGAAATATTTCACAAAATGGGTGACCCTGGAGGACATTATGCTGAGTGAAATATCTCAGCCACAAAAAGACAAATACGGCATAATGCCACTGTTATAAAAGAGGGCTGACATGGAGGTTGGGAGGAGACTGAGAAAGATGGGATAAATAATGTATACTGCATTGAAACAGATGAGGGAGAGAACTGTCTAAAAGGGATATATGATTAGATATTATTGTTATGACAGGAGTCCAGAATGAAGGTAGCATAATGGAGTGGACTTGGAGGCGGGGAGAGATTAAATAACTGAAAGAATTTTTTCTTTTACTCTTCAAAAAGAAAAGCTAATTGAGGGGAGGGGTGGGCAGGGGGAAAAGTGCAACTGTGAATTAATGGAAATCCAAAGTCTCTGTAAACTTTCATTAAAATAAATAAAAAAAAATAGATCCATTTCAGAAGTTTTAAATACAAGACCGCCTGTGAGAACATCTGATTTTAAGTGTGTATCGTCTAAATGGTGGGAGAATTATAAACCAGGAAGTTTGCCTCTCCTGGGTACTGACTGACTGCAGAACCAGAAGTTCTTCTGAAACTATATTTCACCAAAGTCATTATGTGTAAGGGTGTGTGATGGCTCAAGTCTCATTCATACTGCAGCTTTTCATCTGAATATTATCTAGACCTGTTATACAGAAGAAGCCATTCTACATCTGTGCACTCCCTGGCCCCTTCAGCTGCGACACTGAGTAATTAGGTTACTGAAGACACTTTCTTGCCTTGGATGGAGGAGAATATGATAAGCCAAGCAGCAATCATTCGGCTACTATTCTAGGTTTAAAGTAAGCAAGAGCCTCCAGATCTCATCTATTTCAAGTACAGAGCCGTCCTTGTTGTCATTGTCTTTAACACAAAAACTGCAAATATAGCAGAAAGTGAAAAGCTTTTAGGATTTACTCACCCTAAAGGAATTCTGTACCCTTGTTGGCATTGCCTTGCCATGCAAACAATTGAGGCAGATTACTATTGTTTCTGCCACTGGATTACGTTCCCTAGAAATTAACTTTCAAAGCTGCTGTCCTTTTCATTTAAAGTCCAGTTATCGGGCATTTGAAGAGAAACTTACTAACAGAGAAAGAGCTACTCTGCTGAAAATAGGATGAATAGCTGGTGTGCACCTTCAGACTATCTTTATGGCTGTCAGCACCTTTAATTTACTCCATGGTAAGAAGATAAAAAAGGCCTTGTGATTTGCTACTGAAAATCACCTGTTGAAAATCCTACAGGACACATATACTCTTAAACACATAGTGTTGCTGTGAGTGAGAGTCTACTAATTGTTGACCATTGGTTTTTTACTTCATTTGGTAAAAAGGGGATACTTCCTACCACTCTAGTCACTCTCTCTGGGCCATGCTGTGCCCATGACTCTGTTTACCCAAGAGAGTTCTGTAACTTAGGCTGGCAGAGATGTTCCCTTCCTTCTTCTCTTTGGATGAAGTCACCCTTTAGAGGTAAGTGTTCTTTGACTTTCTTCAGGTTCAAAACTTGGGGCAAACTTCCTAGGTGGGGAGATGTATTTTGGTGGGGAAGTGTATTCTGGTCTGGGCTGACGTGGCTGAGTAGATTAGTGTAGGTAATTCCAGTGTTCTCTTTGGAGGCCAACTGACTTCATTCTCCAAACCCACCTGTAGCAAAGCAAATGCTGTCTTTTTGTATTACAGTTTTAGTTGTTTAACTTTTCAAGTTATCTAGAATTTGAGTACAGTTATGCATGTTGTTTATACTGAAGAGTTCCTTTGATAAATCCAATACTTAGGATGTAGGCAATGACAATGGCAGAACAATTTAAATTTTATATTTGTGGCCTGGGATTGTGGATTCAAAATCTGTCATTTAGTTTCAATCATGTCAACCTGAGGAAGTCCCACAATAATTTCATGTCAACTTCCTTACCAATGAAAACTGGGAAATTCTATTCTCTTTGCTTAAGTGACAGGGTGGCTGTGGGGTTCATCTCGTGTCAAAGCAAGTGCACTATAATATCAGTCTCGGTAAAAGAGTTAAGAATACAAATGAATTGCATTTGTGTTTCAGATATTTTAACAAAGCTTTTTTTAAAAAGTAATAACATTTTTATTGTATACTGGTTTACTTACAAAGTTTGTATAGATGGTTTTCCACCACTGCCAATCTTTCCCCTTTTGTTTACCCACCTCTCCCCCCCACCCATCAAATTGTGCTACCCAAAGATTAGCTCCACCCTGCCCCCTCCCCCACCCATCCTCTCCTCTATGCTCACTCCCCTCCCCCCTTGGATCCTCATGCTCCTTCTACAATTATGTTCTTATACAGCATTTGTCCTTATGGGACTGTGTTACTTCACTTAGCATAATGCTCTCCAGTCTCTCGAAAGTTAGGTAGTGATTTACAAAATCATTGCTCCTATTTCGTTTCAGACAAGGCTCTCATATCAAAAGTTTACAGAATCCTACAGAGCCTCCAAAAGGAAAAAGACTGATCACACAATTACAAAATGGGCAAAAGACATGGAAATAATTTTCAGAGAGGAAGACACACAATTACAAAATGGGCAAAAGACATGGAAATAATTTTCAGAGAGGAAGATACTCAGATGGCCATGAAGAAATGCTCAAAATCACTGGCAATAAGGGAGATGTAAATCAAAACCACAATGAGATAATATTTTGTTCCAGTAGCAGTGACAAAATTTAGCAGCATTATTCATTATTGAAAGAACATGGAAATAGCCCAGATTTCCAGCCAAAATGGAATAGAATGGATTGAGAAATGATAGTACATTTACCTGATAGAATACTACGCCACAATGCAGAAGCAATGATTTTGTAAATTACTGTCTAAGTTGGGAGGGACTGGAGAGCATTATGCTAAGTGAACCAACTCGGTCCTATAAGAACAAATATTGTAGACCATTGCAGAACCATTATTGTAGAATGAGTATGAGGATCCAAAGGGGGAAGGGAGAGAATCAGAGGGATGAGAATACGGGGGTGATAATCAGAGGATCTTACAATTTAATGTTTGGAAGGAGGTCGGGGTGAGGGAAATGGGAAAGGTCTGGTGTGAAAAACAATATATACAAACTTTGTAAATAAAACAGTATAAAAGAAAATTTTAAAAAGTCAAGCAAAAAAAAAAATTTAAAAAAGCATGGGGGATCCAGGAGGCGTGGGGAGAGGGAATGGGACAAGCAACCAAAAAAGGAAAAGGAAAAATAGAAAACTGTATGCACTTGAAACATTACAATTTTACACAAACTTTCTAATTCCAAACTATCCTTTCTAAGCATTACAGTGAATTGTCGCCTAAAGAAAAATAATCATTGTTTCTGTATACTGTGTAGTATTCCATCATGTGGATGTACCATTCCATTGTGGTTGAGCATCCAGGCTGCTTCCATGTTCTTGTGATGGTGAATATCACTCCTATAAACATTGGTGTACAAGTGTCCGTTTGAGCATCAATTCTCATTTTCTTGGGGTATATTCCAAGCAGTGGAATAGCTAGGTCATATGGAATTTCTATGTTTAGCTTTCTGAGGAAGCATCAAACTGCCTTCCAGAGTGGTGGTACCATTTTACAAGGCCACCAACAGTGTTTAAGAATTCCTATCTTCCCAACATTTATTACTTGCTCTCCTGTTAAACTTTGTCACTGATACTGGAGTGAGATGGTATCTAATTGTGGTTTTGATTTGCATCTCTTTTATTGCCAGTGATTTTGAGCATTTCTTCATGTGTCTCTTGGCCATCTGAGTATCTTCCTCTGTGAAAATTCTGTTTTTTGCCTATTTTCTCGTTATGTTATCAGTCATCTTGTTTTTGAGGCAATATAAGATTCTATGAACTTTTGATATGACATCCTTGTCTGAAATGGTATTGTCAGTTGTTGTTTTTTTTAACCCCAGTAAGCAGGTTTTCTTTTCACTCTGTTGAAGAATGTTTTTGATGCTCATAGGGATTTAATCTTTTGAAGGTCCCATTCATCAATTTTATCCTCTACAGATTGTGCATTTCTGGCTATATTTGTCGGCCTCTTTATAACATAGACTAGGCTATCAAAGCTTGACACCAGTCTGTTCCTAATGAACTTTATGGTTTGGGGCTTGACTGCCAGGTCTCTGATCCACCTTGAGTTGGTTTTTGTGTATGGTGTGAGATGTGGATCCTTAACAGTTATTTGTGTAGCTTAAGGAGCTTTAGAGGCATAGTGGGTTACATGCTAGACTAACCCAAAAGTTGGCAGTTTGAATGCATTAGGAGCTTCACAGGAAAAAGATAAGCAATCTCCTCCAGAAAAGATTTACAGCCTCTTCATCCAAAAGATTAGAAGCCCAACACAACAGAGTTATGAATTGCAATTGATCTGACAGCTGTGGAGTTTAGATTTGATTGTATAAAGAAACCTGCTGTCATAGTATGGTAAGTGGTGGGCTACTAGCCAAAAAGTAGTTTGAACTCACCAACTTCTCTGTGGGAAAAAGGAAGGGCAATCTCCTCCCTGTAAGCCTTACAGCCTCAAAGCCTGGTGGAAGTTTACCAGGATAAAGAAGCAATGTGATGGTAGTGAATTTCAGATTGATTATGGAAATTTGAATTAAGTCTGTACTAACAAATTCCCAGCAGGATGCTGATTGACAATATTATGACAAGACTCCAGTCAGCAAGCAGAAAATAGGTAGTTTTGTATGGTAACCATTTACCACCTAGGAAGGGACGTTGGGACCAGACCTCCTGACCACTTCTGATGCAAAAATATTTTGTACTCTGTAACTTTGAAAGTTACTTATTTTGAGAGAAAACTGTGCTGTTCTATAAATTAAGTTCTGTAAAGTCATGTATAGCATCACTTCTAGATTGTCAGACAACAGTTAGAAATTCCCTCATCTTTTCTAATTATTGTGCCTTAGGTAACACGCCACCTTGCCAAGCTCTTCGACAGCCTCACAGATCTGCAGTTTGAAGACAACCAGCATGTTTCTGCGCACAGAGCAGTTGGAATGCACAGCAAGGAAAAGGAATATGTCCCGTTCCAATCCGAGTGTGAATGCATAGGCCATGTAAGGTTTCATCTTTAAGCTTTCTAGTCTTGAGAAATATTTTCAGGGTATTTTGAAAAGTCAACTCATGTCAAATCAGGCTCTGGCTGTTTTGTGCTCGAAGATTCCTGTTTAGCTGTACTCAGGATGACAGAGAACAACTCTACCATGCTTCCTAATTTCCGGTCATTTGCCTTTGGCACCCATCTGGGACACAGAGATGCTGAAAGATGAACTAAACAGATTGTTCACTAGACTAGCTTACACTGTCACAGATTGAGTGGACTCCAGAATTAGTAACAAGTGCAACTCAGTGATGGAGTTACTTAGCATATTCTGTGTTACCTCTCTCAGAAAAAAAACTACAGAGAAAGGTTAGAGCAAAGCAGAACCTAGCAATGCAGTGTGCTTTATTTTTTTTAATTATTTGTGTGTGTGTGTGTGTACCATCAAATCAGATTTGACTGGTACAGGAGGAGATTGTTCCTCCTTTTCCAGCAAAGCATCTGGTGGATTTGAACCGCACACCTCTGGGATTGCAGTGCAGCATCTTGCCACTAGGCCACCAGAGCTCACCATGCAGTGTGCTTTAAACAGGCATTGTGGGTCAATATTCTGGGATGAATGTTACAAGTGGCTGCTCGTAAGTAAAGTTGATTGAGTCTACCAAACTGATGTCATACTTTAACAACATGACGCACAGTTAAGTTAGCATATTCTCTTTTCTCAGAAACAAAGATCTGAATTCTTTTTTAAAAAAATTTTATTTTATTTGTGTGTGTGTGTTTGTACTGTCAAATCAGATCTAACTGGTACAGGAGAAGATTGCCCCTCCTTCTCCAGCAGAGCATCTGGTGGATTTGAACTGTGTACCTCTGGGATTGCAGTGCAGCTTCTTGCCACTAGGCCACCAGAGGTTCCTAAAGATCTCAGTTCTTGATAGTTATCCACAAGAGTGGTTTATTAAGAGTGTTAGGAGATATGTATATATAAAATAATTTAGAGGAACTGCATTACACACATACACACAAACATATTAGAGGAATTACATCCTATGCATATATACATATATGTGTGTGTGTAGTCTTCTTGCTTGGATCCCCAATCAACATTCTTGGCATCAGTAATTAGGCAATCAAAAGACAAGTTAGTTTAGGAATGTCTGCTGTCAGGGACCTCTCCAGAGTCCTGAAGGGAAATGATGTCAATCTAGAGACTAAGGTGCACCTGATCCAGGCCATGATCTTAATTGAGAGCTGGATGATGACTGGGGATAACAGAAGAAGAATCAGTGTCTTTGAGTTGTGGTGCTGAAGACGGTTATTGAACATACTGCAGACTGCCAAGAGAACAATTGGATCTGTCCTAGAGAGGGGTTCTTGGAGAAAGACATAATGGTTGGAAAGGTAGAGGGTCAGTGCAAGAGAGGAAGATACTAGATGAGGTGGAATTGACATAGTGATGATGACCATTGGAGTAGGTGTATCAAAGACAGTGAGGTTGGCTCTGGGTAAGGATACTGTTTGTAGGGTCTCTATGTGTCAAAGTTGATTCGACACCACATAACAGCAACAACAATATATGTATATATGGCTCTGGCAGCTTCGTGGGTAAGGAGTTATGCTACCAACTCAAAGGCACACAGTTCACGTCTACCAGCTGCTCCGTGGGAGGAAGATGGGCAATCTCCACTGTTAAGTGCCTCTGAAAACCTACTAGAGGGTTAGCTCTAACCTGGTTCTGACTCGATGATACACAAAGCCATATGCATATCTAGAGATGATGATGCGTATAATTTGGTTGAATTCACAGAGTAACTGAGGCAGTAGCTTCCATTATAGAACCATTTAGGTTGGGATAGGGTTTTTGTTTTGTTTTGATTTTTTACAATATACCTTCCAAAGATGCAGTTGCAGTCTTTATGCTGTGGTTATCTTAACTCCTCTCTCTGGGTTTTAATATTGTACTAGAAAAAGCCTGCCAAATGAAGAGGAAGCAGATGGTGGAATACTTTGATTAAAATACATTTTTTGATCTCTTGGGCTTTTTAGGATATTATTACAAGGATTAGAAAAAGTTACCATAAAGTATCTTGACAAAAGTGTGTTACTGTCTGCTCTCTCCCCAGCAGATTGCTGGCTGACTGGCATGGTGCCCAGAGAGGAGAGACTCGTTGACGGGTGTGTTTGTCGCCAGAAGGAACCTTTGATTTTGAAAGTTTTTATAGTGCCCGGATTTATTCTGTCTAATCAATTTATGCTCAGGACTTGAGTATATACCTCACTCACCAACTCAGTATCTTTGTTTTATTTAAAAAAGATGCTTTCAGAAAAATAAAAAAAATAAAAGATGCTTTCTTCCCTTTTTCTCTACTTTTATGATTGCTTCCCTCCTAGTTTACACTATTTTATTCATCAAATGTTTATTGAATACCTGCTATGCACCAAATACTGAGTTGTACTTTTGGGGATTTAGAAATGAGTAAGACACAACTCCTGCCTTTAAGGAACTGTTTGTCTAGTTGAGCAGATAGATAGATACAAAACTGGTGATAAAAGGGGGTGGATGGCTTAGTGGTAAGGAACTGCACTGTAATCCCAAAAGCCCACGGTTTGGATCTACCAGTAGCTCTGTGGGAAAAGGATGTCAGTTTCTTCTTGTGCAATTTACTGTCTCTGAAAACTCTCTGGAGAGTCAGCTATGAGTCGGTTCCAGGTTGATGACACACAACAGCAACAATTTATAGAGAGCCGGGCAAAAGACATTGAATGACAGAGCAGGGAGATCCAACACCTCAGAGCTATATTCACTGCACAGTGGATTAAGCTGAGCTTGTTGGCATAGTTACCTGAAAGTGCTTTGACATGTGTGTTTAGTCTTCCCAAGCAGACTCCAAAGTTCTTAAAGACAAGTGGCCAAATTGAGAACATGGGAGATGCTTGAATGAGAACTGATTTAGTGAGGTAGCCTGGTGTCAGTGAAAGAGTTGTCTGAGTGGCTGAAACAGACCTGCACAGTGCCGGTGATTAGATCAGGGAACCTGGACTCAAACTTGTCAGCAAAGCACAGCTCTGAAGTCTGGAGGAGGCTCTTATTAAGAGATGTTGGGACTGTTGCCAGGGCAGCACTTTCTTTTTCTTTGGGGCAGAAGGTTGTCAGCTCATTAACTACATACTCTCCCTTCCCTGTTGTCCAGAGAAGAGGTTCTAGGGACATAGCTGCTGTCTTCACAGGGTCAGGGAAAGAAATAAGTTCTAGTGCCTTCAACCTCTCATGTGGTTGGTATTGATTTATTATAGTCATGTTTCTATATTGTTGTTGTGTTATTGAACAAAAGACGTGAACTCTGTTCTATGATTAACATAATTTCTGTACAATTATAAGAGAGTTTGGAGAGTTTCCAGAGGCACCTAGTTTAGGAAGTGGATGCCACTCCTTCTTCCCAGCACGAATCAATCTGGAAGCTCATCCAAACACTGTACATAATGGGTGACCATTATGGTATTTGACAAGACTATGGGATAGTGTTAAGCATCACAGTAGCCCTCAGTTGTTCAGTACAGCAGATAGACAAATGATTGCTGTGTCTTTTAAAAAAATATTCTTCTAAGATTAATCAATTTGGCCCGAGGGCCCTACAGGATTTTAAAGACACACCCTCAAGCAGTGCTCTGCTCTTACCCTTAGTCTAAGGCTAAGGGTATGTTTTTGTAATACTGTGGTCAATTATTTCCAAATTGTTACTTGCATGTATATCAGTTTTGTAAAGTCCACAGAAACAGCTATACACCTCTATGGTAAATGAAACCAAGTGTAATTGAATAAAATAGAACCCTGGCTGAAATTTATTTGTAGGAGCAAAATAGACTTGAAATGAATTTTTTAAAAGAAGATTAATTTTTACAAGTCAGCAGTTGTCCTATCTCTTGTACTCTCCTGCTGTCTAATCTCTGACAAGTGAAAAGATGAGAACCAGTAGGGAAGATAATTAAGATATGTGCGGAAAACATTTTGTCTTCCCATTAAGAAAGATGAAGATTTTAGAGAAGATGTTTTGGTTGATTTAACTTTTACCAACAGATCTATGTATTGTTTTTTAAATTAATTGTCCATTATCTCCAGAACTCTTGAATATTTCTCATACCTCTATATGTGGCTCTTATGTTTGGGTTTTTGAAACATTGCTACCAGAAGAAATCTTGGTTTAGGTCCTCTTCTCCTCTTGTCTTCAAATCTGAAGGGGTGAGCAGTAGTACCTCTTTATTTAAAATGTGAAAAGTCATTGGCCACCTGGTAAGATAAGTTAAGATGTGCAGTATAAAAATAGGTTCATGTACAAGAAGACTTAAGATATCAAGAGCTTGGCTTCTCCTTTCAAGTACCTCTCTTCTAATTTAGCTGTTAGATGTCATTGAGTGGGTTCCAACTCATAGTGACCCCCATGTGACAGAAGACAGCTACCCCATTGAATTTTCTCCACTGTCATCTTTATAGCCTTTGTACTGGGGAAATACTGGCTGAGTTCAGATCACCACTCTTTCAGTTAACAGTCAACACTTAACCATTGCACCACCAGAGCTCCTTCCACATGGGTGCGAAATAAATTCCTCTGTAACCTCGTTCTTTGCATGACCTAAGAGCAGCAGGGAAGATGATCTCTCTTGCTTCCAGAGTTAAGCCCATGTCATAACATTTCCATTTGCTTCAAAAGGTGGAAACCTGGCTTCTACAGCTTGAACAGACCATGCAGCAAACCGTGCGGCATTCTATCACAGACGCCATAGTCGCCTACGAGGAGAAGCCTAGGGAACTGTGGATTTTTGATTTTCCAGCCCAAGTTGCACTGACTAGCTCACAGATATGGTGGACGACAGATGTAGGAATCGCCTTCAGTAGACTGGAAGAAGGCTATGAAACTGCCCTCAAGGATTTCCATAAAAAACAGGTATTTTATAGAGTTGTGATTTTGATACTTGAAAGGACTTGAAAAGGTAAGCTCCATTCATTTATCTGTCCATCTGTCCGTTTATTTGATCATTCATTCATTCATCATTTATGAACTATTGTTCTTGGCTCTATACAGGAAGATCTGGGCCATCAATTGGTCAACTCTTTGTAGTCTTTCTTGGAGTAATCACTATTCTAGTTTTCTACATTGTTTTTAAAATTTCCTCTTTTTTTTTTTTTTTTTATAACTAATTTCAATGAACATCTACAGAGATTTTGGATTTCCATTCATTCATTGTTGCACTTTTCTCCCCCCGCCGTTCCCCCGCCCCCGCCAGTTCAGTCCTCTCCTTGAAAAGCAAAAGAAGAACTCCTTCACTGGTACACAATCCCCCCGCACACCCCCACCGAGTATTATTCCACTCTGCCACCCTCATTCCAGACTCTTACGATAATCATAATGCCCTAAAATATATTACTTTTAAACTATTCTCTCCCTCATTGGCTTCAGTGCAGTGAACATAATTTATCCAGTTTTTCTCAGTTTTACCCCCACTCTGATGTCAGCCTCATTCTACAACAGACATTATGCTGAGTGATATATCTCAGTCACAAAAGGAACATTTCCTCTTCATCCCATTATCACCTGGGCTCTAGAATTTCACTCATGCCTGTGTGCTGTGACTACTTGTGTTCTTCTGTATAAGAATCTCCATCTTTGCTGATGCACTTATTAGAAAATATGTGTGAATTTTCTGTAGTCACATGATTTAGAAAAAAGACAAAGGACTGCTCAAGAGAAGCAAATATTTGATAGTATTTGAGTTGCCAGTTAATTATAAATCACACTTGAACAACTTTGAAAAATAGTCTATTTCAAATCTCAGTTAAGTCTTGACAACCATTGGCCTAGTGACTGGAACAATGGGCTTAAGCACAGTGACCATTGAGAAGATGCTGCAGGACTGGACGTTGTTTCATTCTGCTTGTCTGTAGGGTCACAATGAGTCGGAGCCAATAACAGCACTATGTCAGGTATGCTCTTACCTGTGGAACCGCACAAAGGTAGGACTTTTTTTCTGGTTTATAGATTCAGAGTATTAGTTTTGGAAAGGACTTTAAATATGACTTTTCCTATCCTTGTTTTCAGTGGATACAATTTGAATCCAGAGATATCATGTGATTATCCCAATGTCACACGATTTATCAGTGACACAAGAAGGGCCAGCGCCGTCGCCCTGCACTGTGAAGACAACCTACTTCCCACTGTTCCCCATGGCTCCCCCTGTGCCCCATCATCACTTTTTACTCAGGCCCTCAACAACCAAACTGATCCAAATAACAAAGGCTGCTTGTTTAATACATTCAGAAGTTTTAGGCTTTAAACTACGTTGGTTATTTATTTTCATTTTGCTCATTGAGAACTGTAGATTATGATCAATGAGAATTTGTGCTAATTAAAGATACTTTTATACATTTCTACTGGAGAAAAAGATACCCTCAGCTTTACATCACTGGGGAGAATAGGGTATTGCTTTCCATTTAAGGTGGACTTACAGTAATAATCTGAAGAAGTGACTGAATGGATTCTTCATAGGACCCCATTTCTGGAATTCTAGTTATGACCACCTGGATGAGGAGGAGACTCATTCGTTACATTCTGTTTTATAAATAATAAAATAACCTACTACATTTCAATTAATTATACTTTCTTTATGAAAAACAGCTTTTTGGTTAGTTAACTTGTTAGTATTTGTGCTTTGGTTATATTTGCATGATTGTATTTAATGAATTTAGAAAGAATATGTTTAGAAGAATGTTTTAAAATACTTAAATTATAATAAAATAATATCCTTTTAAAACAGTTATTGTCAGCTTTTACTTAAAGTTGGAAATTCTGACTTAGAGTTAAGGAGTTGTTCTGCCAACTCAAAGGCACATAGTTCAAATCCACCAGCTGCTTTGTGGGAGAAAGATGGACTCTCTCCATCCGTGTCATTTACTGCCTTGGAAAATCTGCCAGCGAGTCACCTATGAGCCAGTTCCAATTGACAGTACATATGAACTCAAACTTGAATCTCCCAATAAACATTTCTACTTATTTTACTCTCCTTTTTCTCTCTTCACTCAGCTTTCCTTTGTCTGTTTCTAATAATTTTTATTATTTTGAGAATACCACATTGCTTAAACCAGAAGTTACTTTTTTATGGCTACTTCTTATGTAGTAATTTTCTTAATTTAATTTCTGTGATTTCATAATTAACTATTGATTAGTAAAACTGAAGAAGAAGAAAATGCAGGTGGGTAAAGAAAAAGGAAAATTATTTCTTAGAAAAATTTGTATATTCAATTCTTAATATAAGAGAAAACTTCAAAACTTATGCTTTCAACTCAGTTTCAACCGATAGTTCTCATCAGTCATAACAAGAGAATATTTGCCATCTGTCTACAGTAGAGCTGCTGGGGGCTTCAGATTGCTAGCGATGAGCAGCCTTTGAGTTAGCGTTGCATCTTGATATGGACTTTGCCACCAAATGCCCCTGTATATAATGTATCTTATGTTATATAGAATATATCTTATATTACTATTTGCCATTGAGTTGGAACCAACACTCATAGCTGACCCTCCAGCAGATTTTCAGCAGGTTTCCAGAGGCTGTAAATTCCAAGAAAGAAGATTATTCATCTTTCTTCCATGAAGCAGCTGATGGATTCGAGCCATGTGTCTTTGGGTTGGCAGCACAACTCTTTACTTCTAGGCCACTAGATACCTACATTTATATATGTATATTTAAGTATGCATGTGTTCCATATCATGTGCAAGCATAGGTATTTATGTGGATGTATGCATACATTTTTTTTTGTACCTTTGACTCAGAACTGCCCCACAGCTGACCCCACAGCAAATTTTCAGAGACGGTTTCAATTTTACCGGCGATTACCCATATTTATTTTGCAGAACAATTGGTGGATTTGAACTGTGTGCCTTTGGGATTCCAGCCCAACTTGTTACCGCTAGGCCAGCACATGTGTATATGGATATTAAGAAATCAAATTTCTTTCTATACGTTTTACTTTGCTATCATGTATTTCCATTCAAATACATAATCTGTATATTTTCTTGTCATAAGTACATATAAAAATCTATACCAAACCATGACCAAATAATATTCCTTTAATTGCATATTCTAGAGTTTTCCCCCCTTCTCTCTCTACTTTGGGTTCCCTCTGGTGTTCTAACTTCTTTTCAGCACTCTTCAAGGTTGCATGTTTCCAGACATGAAATTTCTGCTCTTAAGGTACTGACATTCTGATGAATGGTACTGTTTATTACGTCTCTTCATCAAGTACTTTAGAATCATTTTTTTGAGCTCCACCTTCCCTTTGACACACCACTAGCTAATTTTAAATCCTCCACTGGTAATTGGTCTTAAATTTTATGTAGATTTACCAGTGACCTTGCTTTTTAACCGAGTTTGTTATTTCTTAATTTTTTTTATCAGTCTGTGCCATGATAGTGTATACATAAGAAATATCTTGGTTCCTTGCCTTTTTTACTTTCTTAATAGTTTAAGAAATATTAGATTCTAAATTGAGTTATTTTCTGACAAGTTTGAAGCTGTCACTCTATTATCCTGTAGCCTTTATTTTGCTTATTATGTAATGTTTGATACATTATTCTCTAATGTATAATTATATTGACTTTTAGCTGTTGACTTTTAAACAGGTGTTTATATTTTATAATGTAAGTGTAAATTTAATTTAAGTAAAGAGTCAGTGAATTTCGTCAGTATTTAGTTATATGTCTGTCTTCAATTTAGAAAACTTCTTACTCCTATCGCTTCTCAGCCTTTTGGCTAAGATCAAGTGTAGAAAACTTCTTATTCCTTTTCTCCCAGATGCCTATTTGCTCAATTTTTTTCATCTAGAATGTGTATGTGTGTGTAACATTTTCATTGTATTCTCCATGTCTCTTAACATCTACTTCATGTGAATTGTCAACTCGTATCTTTTGTCCTACTTTGTCTTCTCAGTTCATTAACTTTTCCCCCCTTATAGAGGCTTTCGAGATCAGGTTTTTATCTCTCTTATTCTATCACATCTGACATGATTCATAGTTGACCCTTGAGCAGATCTTCAGGAGACTGTAAGTCACAGGTGAGGAGATTATCTGTCTTTCTTCCAAAGAGCCACTAATGGATTCGATACACCAGAGAGGGGCCACCTGTGAATTAATAGTGCAGCTCCCTATGGACTAGGCCACTGGCTCAACTCACTATTTATTAGCTGTGAGACTTTGAGCAAATAACTTACCAACTCTGTGTCTCAGTTTCAATATTTGTAAAATGAGAATAATGAGAAAGCATGTGCACCATAGTATTGTCAGGACTAATTATTTAATGTTGTTGTTGTTGTTGTTGTTGTTGTTATGTGCTGTCAAATCTCCAGCAACTCATAGTGACCCTGTGTTCAACAGCCCTAAACCCTGCTCTATCATGTGTTATTCTCATTGTCTCTGATAAAGCTACCCCCATTATTCTAGTCACTGAATCAATCCATCTTATTGAGAGTCTTCCTCTCCTGCACTGTCCCACCACCCTCACAAGCATGACATCCCTCTCCAAGGACTGGTCCCTACTTGCAACATGTCCATAGTATGTCAGTTAAAGCTTCAGAATCCTTGCCTCCAAGGAGCAGCCTGGTCTCACCCTCTCTCGGATGAATTTATTTGTTCTCCTAGCAGTGTATTGGTTTTTATTTTCTTCTTTTTATTAAATTTTATTAATTTTAATGAACATTTACAGAGATTTTGGCTTTCCATTCATTCATTGTTGCACTATTTTCTCTACCCTCATCCCCCGCTTCGTTCCTCTTTTTTTTCCCCCCTTGAAAGTCTGTTTTAATTGTCCCATTGCCACAGTTCTAGTCAAAGCTAGTTCTGATTAACCTCCTTTGTCAGTGTGTCCTTTGCCATTCCCTGTCACTCCTCCCTGAGAG